AAAACATTAAAATTTACCAGTTTATAAAAAGCCATATCTATGTTTGTTTTAAAAATTATCTGCACTCAAATTTTTCCTTATTTGGTTGTAACCTACGTCACCAACAGTGACAATAAATTTAACTGATTGAACGCTTGCACAGCGAAAAACGATTTCTCTCATTTCGAGCTGTTCATTAAATTACTAGTATTACCTACAAGCAGGAAAAAAAATATGTAATAATGAGGTTCTCACAGGAATAAAATCGTATTGACAGACATGTAATGGATGTGAATGCAATTTAATACTGCCATTATACATTGCAGTACTCTTGGCATAACCGTATATTATATGCACACATAACAATAATAATTTAAATAACTTACATAAATCTTTCCTTTTTACTCATATCTATCACGATATCTTCATTGCATGCCATGTTTGCCAAAATACCAATACAGATTTCCTACAATGTAAAAACACTTACAAGTGATGGTGACACAGAATTGTACAGAACATAGCCATCTCAATCACAGTCATGTGGACTTCACATCAACCACACAACAGCGGTACAGTTTCAGAGAAAGCTCAGGTAATAGGCATACTACATAGTATTGGTCGGAACATTTAAACAGACTGATTGCACTTATTAGCTAATTAGATATACTGTAAAATTTACTAATTTAACAAGTGGAAAATGTTTGCGAATCAATGGGTAATTTATGCACAGACCAATTTACAACAACAGGGTCCATAGCACCAAGTGCCAAATGATTTCCAAAACTTTTCCAGACCTTTTCCCAAACTTTCTTGCATTTTTCCAACACATTTTGACCCTTAATTCAGGCCAACATCATCACCAAAGCTCATCAAAGTTCTAAGGATATGGTAGTTCCCTGGAGAAAACGGGCCTTTCTAAAATGAATTAATAACTAAGAAGAAATTTAAAGACTTCTCAAAGATTTGCTTATTTTTCCTGAAAATCAAAGACAACTCAAAGACGTTCTAGGCCTCAAAAAATCCAAAGACTTTCAAAGGATTTTCCCAATGCTACGAACCCTGAACAATATCCTGGGTTTCAAAGATAATACAACAGTACTGCTAAATAATCCCTCAAATAAATCAATAAATATGATCAAATCTCTAAATATACAGAACACACCTTATACTAGAATAGGGATGTCACATATGTATTACAAGCAATCCCATTGAGGTATATCAACACAGACATCACAATTTCTTATCCACTCATTCTTATACAATAAATTATTATTCATTATTCAATATCAAAGACTGATCAAATGAGGATATTCAAAGTGATGATGATTACAAATGAACTGAAGAAGTTAAATAAATTGCGAGGTGATCACAAAATCGCAACATACATTTTTGGAATTACAGTACTGCGAGTGATTACAATATGCTAATGAACTGGTTTTTTGAAAATGCTAATAATCTCACTCAATTCGTTTATGCTATCAAACCTTCCACAAGTCAACCATGTTCTGTGATGCTGAAGATTAGGAATGCATTTGATTGGCACAAGATCTTCTTCACATGTCACTGTACATACAGTAGGTACGGTATATAATTCACATACCCTCATCTTTCAAATCCGTGACAATATTGATTACTTTAACAAACCAATTAATAGTTTTAGTTAAACAGTTGTCTAGTGAATTGAAAATGATACTCACAGTGGCTCGCGGTGCATTTGTCTTGGCAATAACACCAACTAGGATGTCTTCCGTTTTCCATTCATGGAGAAACACAGCTACATCCTACAGGCACAATGTGATTGTAAAGCTGATATTGTGATTGTTTCATTGGTTTTTCTATAAAAACTGCAAGAGGGAGCACTGCGATTCAGCAGCGCTGCCAAGTGGGAGAGATAGGGTTCTCCCTACTCGGGTGTGGAGTTTTTGATAATTCTAAGTTAAAGTGGAGCATTCTATAGTTTCCTTGGGGCCAAAATTACTATCAGACAGGTCACAGTTGAAGTCTGTGTCCACATGTGATCCCTGGTCAATCAGAATTTTACGGTTGCCAGAAGATCTGCTCCCCAGGGTAAGGGGGTGCATGGCCAGGGCATGAGGGCTGACCCTGTTACCTTGTTTAATAAAATCCCTGGTGTTTACAACTCACATAATAATGTGTAATAGATAGTCAAGGTCTACTAATACACACTGCATCTACATGTATGTACTCCAGAATTGTGGCTCATTGAAATATAATGCAACACATTCCATTGCTGAACATAATAGTTAAAAGGTGGTGGTTGCTGCACATTTCATGTAAACAAATAGATGGTTCAAACAATGAATTTTACGTGCGTTTTATACTGCACTATGGGTCCCATATCAAACACAGTGCGACCTGACGACCATAGCCCATTTTGAACAGGAATACTGTAGAATACTTTATTTTCGCTTGGAATTTATTTTCGCTATTTTCGCTGAAGGGATGTTTTCGTGAAAATAAAATCCAGCGAATATACTTTTTTTCCTATATCTCACATTAAACTCATCAACAATCAGTGAAAATAAATTCCACACAAAACGCCCAAAAAGCCTTTTCAGCGAAAATTAATTCCAGCGAAAATAAAGTATTCCACAGTATTTCACAAATTTGAGTGTACATTATTTTGATATATTCAGCAATTATAAGTTTAATATCACTAGCATATGCCAGAAATAAATACTTTGCCAATTCATTCATTCATTCTCGCGCATGTCTTTTTTTTTACTACACTCCAAAAATACTCTGACAAGGCCTGTATTGAGGAACTGATTTAAATATGCATGAGTATATGTCATGGAAGCAAATGACCAATCAGCACTAGATTTATAATTAGAATTAGGGTATGGATAGTGTGATTCTACAAGTAGATTGATTGGTTCCTTGGAATGAAATGTATGTGCACTGATTGGTGCATTTGAAAGCTACTGAATATCAAAATGTAGGTGTATTTTTCCAGGTACAGCTTTCTTGTGGTACATGTACATATGTATTCCCCAGGTGCTGCAAACAAGCCAGGGTTAGCTCACTTAAATATCCCACAATGGAAAGCTTCAACTGATTTCCCATAATTCCCTTCTTTACCAGATTCACTGTTTTTCATTTGACAACATTTCCCACAATGCACTGGTTCATCTGACGTACCTACATGTACCTGTCAATTTCCACAATTCAAACCTTTAGTTGATTTATACACATACATTCAAATTCCCATAATTCAAAGCTTTACCTGATTCATGGACATATCCCATAATTTACAAAGTTCGTTCTCAATTTCTTCATCAATATCGATGGGGCTTGTACTTGAACTTGGTAGAGCAGCTGGACAAGGACTGGCAGTAGAGCTTTCAACACTGGAAGGGGTCAATGTTGGACTGGCATGACATCCTGAGGTGCTGGTAGAAGTCACAGTATCCACAACACTACACGTCTTTTCCACTTTTGTATCACAATCTTTTTTATCCTGCACATCTTCCTTTGATTCATTGCATTTATCGTCCTCCTTAACTCCAAGTACTTCTTCTTTATCAACTTCCTATTTTTTTTAAAAATACATTCGGATGAGTAAAATCAAAGCTTGTAACACAGTGGTTGCTGAGGCGAAAAAAGAAAAGAAATTAGTTTCTTTTTTTGTTATTTATTTTACTCCTACATGTAAGACACATACTAGTACATTACTGTGTTTCATAAGAACAAATTGTTTTTTTCAAAATAAGTGACAAACATGATCATCCCACACTTTTTTGGTGGTTCGCACACTGACCAGAAACATAACATATTTTTTAAGACCTAATGATCATACAAAATGAAATGTAAAGATTAGGCCAGACTTTTATTATCCCTTGTTTCGCGAACCCGCCGAATGAACAGGAGCCAAAAATGAAATAAAAATTAAATTTTATTTCAGCGTAATTTCTCGCACCCGCCGAATTGTAAGTGCAAAAAATTACTGAAAAAAATTATTTTTATCTTCATTTTTTTTCCGACCGCCGCATAACAAATCCAAGTTGCATTTTCGTGGGAGTACCATGATCAAAGTACCGAAGTCTACCGCAGATGAGAAACAAGATTATACATGGAATAAAATTTTATTTCATTTCTTCTCTCTGATCAATGATCTCACTTACAATTCTTGGAGAATCACACAAATCTAATGGAATAAAAGAATTAATTTTATTTTTTTCCGCCCCCCATCAAAAAATTTGCATTATACAAACTTGAGAAGCAAGGAATAAAAAAAGTATGGCCTTACATGCCAATGACAACCTTGTCTGCATTCTGGACACATTGAATTTGCCAATAACACAATAATTGAAGGTAAAACAATGAACTTACAGCCTACGTGGTATTTCCTTCATTTCAGGCATAATCATACATGTATACACACCAAGTTTAAGTTTGCCCAAAGCAGATCACACAAGTTTACTAACTAGTGTTTATATTGCCGTACCTTGATTAGTTTCATTAGCGTTGTAAAAACCCAGTGTTTACTGAAGACAGTACCACCAATACATATCTCAGCATTCAACTCATCATCATCGGCCTCTTGTGACTTAGATGTCGGAGGTGGTGATGGATTACGATCTACTATAGGTGATGAATACAGCCCCGTAGGATAGGACAAATTACTGTCACCTGAAAGGAATAATTATACAATACCAAAGCAATCCAAATATGGAACAAGTTTATCCAAATATGGTCAGACAGGCCAGTAATGTAGAATATGATTTGCACAGGTGTGCATCAGTGTTGTGGAAGAAGGGCCAATATGAGATTCTGTATTTTTTCTATTATGTAGCTCATGCACTCGCATATTTGCCAGAGGAGTGGCTATGTTCAAAATAAGTAATATTTTAATAATCACATTCAATATTATGCTATTTTTGATTTACGTCTCATTAATTAAAGATGTGCTTCTAATCAAGCAAATAGAGTACTCAATAAAGGATAATTATAGATGTGTGTCAACAAATTCCATTCATATTGTACATCCACAGTTGAGACAAACTGATCAAAAATAATAACTGACAGAAGTGGGCACAATATTGATGTCTAGTATTCGCAAACCATGACAACAAATTGTTTTTTACTATGAAATTATGGATATAGAACACAGGTGGAATGTTTTGTGACATAGTTTGTTATCAATAGAAAATTGAATAAAGTATTATGTCAGCAACAGTGAAAAAAGAAAATTGGCGGAATGTTTTTTTTTTTTTTTTTCATGGCCAATTTGCCAAAGGTCACACTATGGGAAATTTCTGTAGGTTTTTAATTTATAATGCCATCGAAACGTTTCATAATTCTATTTTATTGTTATTATTTATAGCCGTCTTCCAGTATATGTATATTTTTTGTTTTGTTTATTGATAGATTTTAAAGCCATACTGTACATATGTCTACGTGTGAGATGAATGAACTCACACAATTTAATTAATTTAACTTTACTACATCATTTAGAGATTCAAAAAATTGTATTTGTATTAATTTTGGGGATACCTTAAATATAGTATTATTTAGTTGAACTTTAATATAACTCATTCTTCACCATCTTAAGGGTAGGCATACTTCGGGGGCTGGGGAACCCCTGGGTTTTGGGAGCTGTCGTTTTCATAAATCAAATGCACTAACATCACAGAAATGTATACACCGGTATGGTTGTAAGACCGCACAATCGATTTCGGGCGCTGCTGTAGACACAAGGTAATTAGGCCAGGGCGTCTCGACTGCATCAAAGTGCTGAAGAAGAGTGTACTTGATGAACTAGTTCGATAATACTCATATTATCACACAGCACACCCACAGAAACACTCACTGTGAAAGGATCAAACATTACCTTCTTCTGACATTCCGCTGTTTCTTCTGCATCAATTTACTTTATATTTGCGAACAAAACAATACTGAACCCGACACTGATCAAATGCCATGTGTTCGTACATCAGCAACAAAGTCGGTCGCCATTTTGTGAAAACATCAACAGCAAACTTTTACCGTGAGGGCGCACTGTACTGAGCTGTTCGTTCGTGTGCTCCTGTGCATTTCTCCATTCTGTCTCGCTAATTAGGGTGTATCAGCAAATTAATTACCAAGTACAGTATGAACATCATATAAAATAACATGAATAGTTATTTGAAAACTCATCTTGATAAAAACAGTATTGAATGATTTATCCCCGGGGGAGGGGCTACTTGCCCGACTGGGGTGTCATTTCACGTTATTTTGTTTAGAAATGGGTGGTCATTTATCAATGGTTTGGTTTAGAAGTGTGTAGCATTTATTTACTTTTTCACAGGTTCTTATATTTATAGCCAAATACCGGCAAAGGCTGAATAAACTGGTTGCGAAAGTTGTGAGCTGGGCGGGTTTTTTTTTCACTGAAAACACTTGTGTTTAGAAGTGGGTATATAAATAGAAAAAAAATGGTTTAGAAGTGAGTATGGTTTACGAGAGGCGGGCTTCACACCCTTACCCACTTAATGTGGAAGTAGCCCCCCCCCCCCGGGGGGGGAATATCATGAAACAAAAAACGTTATTTTGGCGGGAAACATCATAGCAATATTGTTTTGTCGAATGAATAATGCTACCTGCGTGAGACATTTCTGAAAATTTCCCAAAAAAATCATTCATTGTTGCCTTTATTAAGATGGAATATCAAACATTTGTCCTAACATAGACATATTTCCCTATCAATAATAATATAATCTCTATCCAGTCTGAACTTCGTCCAGGACGGAAGCTTACTAGTATATGTTAGATCTTCCTTTCGTCCAACCATCATTACTCAGACCTGCATGTAAATATATCAACATCTGTCCCGGGTTTTACAGTCTTGTTAGGGATGGTTGGCCAGCGGACATTTTAGCAAAACTCGAATTGTGTGTTCAATGGTTTATCGTTTTGCACACAAATGATGACTGCGTCCAGAAAACGGTTTACTTGCGCTGGTGCTAGTTTGTTCCGACCATGGAAGGTACTAACCTTCCATGTCCCTACTTAGCCTGACATGTAGGCGTGAGTAGGCCCTCGCCGGCTGAACGGCATTAGACCTCACGTGTGTTGGGTTTGGAGCACCGCGGAGGGCGCAACTCACGCGACCTCGTCAGGCTAGTTCCGACTCACAGACAACTAATTAATTCATTAGTTGCCTCATAGATGGTTGTCTGAGGTTCTGCGATACAAACTTATACTACAAAAAATAAAAATCAGACGTAAAATAACAGCCAATCAGCTGTCGGTACTACTGCTCTACAAAAGCGTAATGAACCCAGCCACTGTGAATCTGCAATAACACAGAAAACGAAATTTGTGATTTGTGTGAGACCTTTGCCGATTTTAAATACTACAACTGAGAGAGATATGTACGACACGGCGTCTTCCTTAAAAAGTATATGACATTACTATTAAAATTGGGGTAAAGTTGAAATGCCACAGTTTGATATTGAAGAACAGAAACAAATTACTAGTAATCGATTCGAGTTTTCATTTAAACATTTACAGCCAAATTGGTACTTTGTTCTCCCAGGCTCAGATATTAAATTCACGGAGCATTAAATGATATGAGGTCAATTGGTTTCCATAACAGCTTGGGAAATGACCGTGGCCTTTCGAACCGTGATAACAATGACCACAACTTTTACAGAATAAATAAAACCACAATATAAACAAATGTCAAGTTTATCTGCTGAAACGTTAGACTAACTATAGAGGTAAACTCCATGGACTAACTAACAAATTCCTGGATCCAGACTTTATTTCATTTCTTACACGCCATGACATTATTTGTCTCACAGAAACATGGGCTAGTAATTCCACACAACTCGATTTACCGAATTATGCTACAATAAATGTCGTTAGAAAGAGAACAATGCACTTTGGTAGAAATGGAGTGGAATTTTAATTTTCGTAAAGAATTTCATAATAAATGACATCAAGCATCTGCCAGGTGTCAGTGGGGATATTTTGTGGGTACAAATTAGCATAAGTTCTAGTTACGTAATCAACACTATGCTAGTACGTACTGTTTTCTTATCGGGAGAGGGGTCCAAATATGCAAATGATGTTACTTTCTAGGTGCTTGAAAATGAGTTGGCTAACTACTAGTATACTACGAAATGCATTAACTGCCCAATTGTGATATGTGGAGATTTCGATGCTCGCACTGCCAACCCACCTGATTTTGAGCATGGAGTGGATGATGACGACATAAACAATGGTGCATTTGTCTTCGCGACTCTAGTGACACTGTCTTGAATAACTTTGACAAAAGTTGCTTGACTTGTGCAAGAATTCCAGCTTTTTATTTCAAATGGTAGATATTTAAGGGTGCGTGGCTGAAATGGTAATTTAACTTTTTTTTACAAAATTCTTTGAAATGCATGGAGAAAAGTAGCCTGACGAGGTTGCCCCCTCCGCGGTCTTCCAAACTAAATACAGTTAGTGAGGTCTGATGCCGTTCGGCCGGCGAGGGCCTACTCACGCATACATGTCAGGCTAGGAGAAAAGTGAACGTTCGAAATATAAACAAAATAATTAAAATAATATTTGATGGGACAAAGAATGTAGTCAAATGAAATTGAATGTTAAATTTTTGCTCAAAGCCCACAAACGTGAGCCTAGTTCTTCCACTTCCAGTGATTATAAAAAATGGACAACGTCATTATCGCAAGCTATTACGTCATAAAAAGGAGAACTTTGATTTCCGTCAGCAAACTCGTCTCGCTGAGTCCGCCTCGAAACCTAACTCTAAGCGTATGTGGTCACTGGTCAAACCAGCTACCCCAAGTATTCGAGAATCAATCTCTCCTCAAGATTGGTTAGAATGTTTCTCAAGTTTATTTCACACCCCGGGGAATCAATCATATGACATTGAATTTGAGGACTTTTACAATGAAATGGAAGAATACGTTGATGCAACATTCTTTTTAAATCGATCTAACCAATCACACTAGATGAAATGAACTTCACAATAAATGATCTGAAATCAGACAAAGCTTGCGGTATTGATGGTATCCCAGTAGAATATTTCAAATATCTAGGTTCTAATTGTATTCAGCTTGGATGGGATATGTTCATCAAAACACTTTATCCGGGTGCCACGAAACAGTTGGTATATAGAGCCATCACATTACTTTCTATTAATGACAAAATGTTTTGCTCTATTATACTTATAAACGCTTATCAAATTTAACTGATGTATATTGTTCCATTGCCGAAGAGAAAGGGAAATGGAGCACAATTGATAACACTTTTTATCTTGAACACTGTAATATGGAAGTACATGTATCTATCAAAACACAAAACCTGGTTGTATTGTGCCTTTATTGATTTCGAAAAAGCATTTGACAGGATTGACCACAACGCGATGTTTTATAAATTTCTCAGACAAAGTATTAGAAGTTATGAAATGAATGTATAGCAATGTAAAGTCGCAATGTTAAGACACCTGTTGGTATCACAGACTTTTTCAATTTTAATTAGGGTGTACAGTAAGGCTCCACATTGTCCCTTCTTTTATTATATCTTTTCAATAATGATATAGGTGATATACTGCAAAGTGGGTTTTACAACGAGGTATCTGCTTTATGCCAATGATTTATCCATTCCTTGTAGTTCTAGGATTGGGTTGCAGAAGCAGTTGGATAAATTATGTGCTTACTGTAAAAAATGGTAACTCAAAGTCAACGCCAACAAGTCTAAAAGTATAGTATTTAGAAACTAGGGCTTAAATGAAATGAGCATTGGTATATTGAAAGTGTAAGGGTAGAAATCATCATATACTTCAATTATTTGAGTATAACACTTTCGTCATCGGGTTTGTGGACACACGCTCAGCATGCTATGGCAAGTCGTGCGAGTAAAGCAATGTATATTATTATAAAGATATCAAGCCAATTTAAGAAAATTAATTAATATTGCACTGAAGATCTTTGTCGTCAAAATCGTACCAATACTGAATTATGGTTTTGAAATTTGGGGATTCCATGCTGGAGAAAATATTGGAAAAAGTCCTTCCCT